CACTTTTTTTTTTTTTTTTTTTTTGAGTTGGAGTCTCACTGTCGCCCAAACTGGAGTGCCGTGGCCGCTCTCGGCCACCGCAGCCTCGACCTGCTGGGCTCCGGCGATCCTTCCGCCTCAGCCTTTTTAAGTCGGAGTCTCACTCCGTTCCCAGGCTGGAGTGCAGTAGCACGCTCGCAACCACGCCAGCGTCGGCCCGCTGGGCTCAGGTCATCTTCCACCTCAGCCTTCCAAGGAGCTGGAACTACAGGCGCGTGCCACCATGCCCGGTTAATGTTTTTGAATTATTGTAGAGATGAGGTTTTGCCAAGTTGCCCAGGCTAGTCTCAAACCCGTGGGCTCAGGCAATCCTCTCACCTCGGCCTCCCAAAGTGCTGGGATTATAGACGTGAGCCACCATACCCTGCCCTTTATTATTTCTTTTTTTTTTTTTTTGAGTTGGAGTCTCACTCTGTCGCCCATACTGGAAGGCAGTGGCAGGCTCACGGCCACCCCAGCGTCGACCCGCTGGGCTCCGGCGATCCTTCCGCCTCAGCCTTCCAAGTAGCTGGAAGTACAGGCGCACGCTACCACGCTGGGCTGATTTTTGATTTCTCGTACAGACGAGGTCTCGCCAAATTGCCCGGGCTGGTCTTGAATCCCTAGGCTCAGGCAATCTTCTCGCCTTGGCCTCCCAAAGTGCTGGGATAACAGACTGAGCCACCGAGCACCGCCTTTTCTTTCTTTCTTTCTTTTTTTTTAAGAAACCGAGTATCCCTATGTTGCCCAGGCTGGTCTCAAACTTCTGGCCTCAAGCAGTCTTCCTGCCTCAGCATCCCAAGGTGCTGTGATCACAGGTGTGAGCCACCATACCTGGCACCACCACTTTCTAGTGTTGAGACTTTGGACGTGACTTAACCTTTCTATCAATTGGTCTGTGTCAAGAGTTCCCACCTCACAGGGTTGTGTGAGGATTCTGATCTGAGTTAATGTTTGTAAAGTGCAGTGTCTGGCTCTAAAGTGGGCTCGGGCCACTTTGCTAATTTTTTTTTTCACGGAAGGGGTGTGCTCTGTCATTCAGGCTAGGGAGCAGTGGCACAATCGTAGCTCACTGTGGCTCTCGTCTGTAATCCCAGCACTTTGGGAAGCTGAGGAGGGAAGACTGCTTGAGGCCAGGAGTTCGAGGCCAGCCTGGGCAATATAGCCAGACCCTGTCTCTCTACCAAGAAAAACAAAAACGGAAACAAAAAATTAGCCAGGTGTGGTAGAGCATGCCTACAGTCCCAGCTACCCAGGAAGCTGAGGCAGAAGGGTCACTTGAGCCCAGGAGGTCAAAGCTGTAGTGAGTCATGATTGTGCCACTGCACTCCAGCCTGGGTGACAGAGTGAGACCTCACTCAACTCAATTAAAAAGAAAGAAAGAAAGAAAGAAAGCCAGGGTTGGTGGCTCAGCCTGTAATCCCAGCACTTTGGGAGGCTGAGGCAGGAGGATCACTTGAGCCCAGGAGGTCCAGGCTGTGGTGAGCCATGATCATGCACTGCACTCCAGCCTGGGTGACAGAGTGAGACCTCACTCAACTCAATTAAAAAGAAAGAAAGAAAGAAAGAAAGCCAGGGTTGGTGGCTCAGCCTGTAATCCCAGCACTTTGGGAGGCTGAGGCAGGAGGATCACTTGAGCCCAGGAGGTCCAGGCTGTGGTGAGCCATGATCATGCACTGCACTCCAGCCTGGGTGACAGAGTGAGACCTCACTCAACTCAATTAAAAAGAAAGAAAGAAAGAAAGAAAGCCAGGGTTGGTGGCTCAGCCTGTAATCCCAGCACTTTGGGAGGCTGAGGCAGGAGGATCACTTGAGCCCAGGAGGTCCAGGCTGTGGTGAGCCATGATCATGCACTGCACTCCAGCCTGGGTGACAGAGTGAGACCTCACTCAACTCAATTAAAAAGAAAGAAAGAAAGAAAGAAAGCCAGGGTTGGTGGCTCAGCCTGTAATCCCAGCACTTTGGGAGGCTGAGGCAGGAGGATCACTTGAGCCCAGGAGGTCCAGGCTGTGGTGAGCCATGATCATGCACTGCACTCCAGCCTGGGTGACAGAGTGAGACCTCACTCAACTCAATTAAAAAGAAAGAAAGAAAGAAAGAAAGCCAGGGTTGGTGGCTCAGCCTGTAATCCCAGCACTTTGGGAGGCTGAGGCAGGAGGATCACTTGAGCCCAGGAGGTCCAGGCTGTGGTGAGCCATGATCATGCACTGCACTCCAGCCTGGGTGACAGAGTGAGACCTCACTCAACTCAATTAAAAAGAAAGAAAGAAAGAAAGAAAGCCAGGGTTGGTGGCTCAGCCTGTAATCCCAGCACTTTGGGAGGCTGAGGCAGGAGGATCACTTGAGCCCAGGAGGTCCAGGCTGTGGTGAGCCATGATCATGCACTGCACTCCAGCCTGGGTGACAGAGTGAGACCTCACTCAACTCAATTAAAAAGAAAGAAAGAAAGAAAGAAAGCCAGGGTTGGTGGCTCAGCCTGTAATCCCAGCACTTTGGGAGGCTGAGGCAGGAGGATCACTTGAGCCCAGGAGGTCCAGGCTGTGGTGAGCCATGATCATGCACTGCACTCCAGCCTGGGTGACAGAGTGAGACCTCACTCAACTCAATTAAAAAGAAAGAAAGAAAGAAAGAAAGCCAGGGTTGGTGGCTCAGCCTGTAATCCCACGCCTTTGGGAGGCTGAGGTGAGTGGATTGCCTGAGCCCGTGGGTTCGAGACCCGCCTGGGCAGCGAGACCTCATCTCTACAATAAATCAAAAAATCAGCCGGGCGTGGTAGCGCGCGCCTGTAGTTCCAGCTACTTGGAAGGCTGAGGCGGAAGGATTGCTGGAGCCCAGCGGGTCGAGGCTGTGGTGGCCGGCAGCAACTAGTGCACTCCAGTCTGGGCAACAGAGTGAGACTCCAACTCAAAATTAAAAAAAAAGAGAGAGAAAAAGAAAAAAACTCACTTCAACCTCGAACTTCTGGGCTGGAGTGATCCTCCTGCCTCAGCCTCCACAGTAGGTGGACTACAGGTGCAAGCATTAAATACTCTTAAGGGCTCTTGTAATTAACCCTCCTTTACAGATAAGGAAACCAAGGCTCAGAGAGGGGCAACCCTTGTCTGAGGCTGCACAATAAGGAAATTTGGTAGCCAGGCCCAGCTGAGGTCCCAGGGTTTACCTTAAGCCAGCAGGAGCCGGTCTGCAGTTAGAACTGTTCAAGCTTTGCTGGTGTTCAAACCTCAGAGCTTCACCATAAGCAGAACTTCTGTGAGCCCCCAATGCATCACTGAAACAAGAGCTTCCCCCAAGGGCCACCACAAAGATGAACCGAGATGAGGTGCATTTGTTAGGAAGGGCTGGGTTATGCTCAGAACAAGCAACCCCAAAAACCCCATGGCCCCAGCAGCCAAGGTTGGCTTCTTTTTATTTTATTTTTTTATTTTTATATTTTTGAGTTGGAGTCTCGGTCGCCCAGACTGGAGTGCAGTGGCCGCTCCCGGCCACCGCAGCCTCGCCTGCTGGGCTCCGGCGATCCTTCCGCCTCAGGCTTCCACGTAGCCGGAATTACAGGTATGCGCTACCACGCCCGGCTGATTTTTTGATTTATTGTAGAGATGAGGTCTCGCTGCCCAGGTGGGTCTCGAACCTGCGGGCTCAGGCCATCCACTCACCTCAGCCTCCCAAAGGCATGAGATTACAGGCTGAGCCACCAAGCCCGGCTGGCTTCTTTTTATTATATCATTATTTTAATGTTGAGTTGGAGTCTCACTCTGTTGCCCAGGCTGAAGTACAGTGATACAACCACAGCTCACCACAGCCTCTCTCTCCTGGGCTCAAGTGATCTTCCCCCCTCAGCCTCCCAAAGTTGCTGGGACTACAAGTGTGCACCACCATGCCTGGCTAATTTTTTGACTGACAAGATCATGCTATGTTGTCCAGGCTGGCTTTGTACTCCTGGGCTCAAGCAATCCTCCTGCCCTGGCTCCCAATGTGCTGGGATTACAGGCATGAGCCACTGAGCCTAGCCCAACGTTTGCTTCTTATGGGTTGTGGTGAAGGAAAAATGCAGCAAATTATGCATTGTTTTGTACTGCTTCTCCTTAGAAGGGACACATGCCACCTCTGGTCACATTTCATTGGCCAGAACAAATCACATGGCCCATGGCCACCCCCAAAGTCTGTGGGGCAGGAAATATCGTCCTCTAGGGTCAGAATCAGCCATTGTTACAATAATACATCATATGTGCCGTGGTTTGCGCCACACCCTGGTATACAGCAGGCACTCAATCCATGGACAGCATTATAGGAGACGCTGACAGGCTGCAGTGGCTGACACTCCAAATCGTCACCCTTTGTGAATGGAGAAACTGAGGCCCTCAGCTCTACTCTCACCCACCATCCCTCTGCTTCTCATGGGGGAAGGAACTGAATAATGACAGTGGTCATTTCTGAAGAAGCCTTTATTGACACACAGGGCCTGGGCTAGAGGCTTCTCAAACCCAGGGCGAGGCCGGCGAGACACAGCCCGTTGCTCAAGAGGCAGCCCAGGTTGCACATGGAGGACAGGCCGTGGTAGTGGAAGAAGTCCTGGCGGAGAGCCTTGTACTTGGGGTCCTTGTCTCGCAGCTGGCGGTAGGGGTCGGGGCCCTGGTGGCTGCCTGGCATCTCCCCGCCCAGGCCCCGCTCCTTCTCCACTGTCTGCAGGGCCCACATGGTGGCCGTGGTGCGAGGCCCCAGCCAGCGGGCATTGAGGGTGGCCAGTGTGAGGCTCAGGAACAGCAGGCAGAGCTGGCGGGGATGGCGGGAGGAGGTGAGTGGGGGTGGGAGGGAGCACCCTCTAGAGGTGTGTCCGCATGTCCAACAGCCGGAGGGAGACAGGGACGGCATGGGCGAAGCCAGCCTCACCGTCTTTCCACAGGCCCAGACTGAAGGCCCAAAGTGGAGCGCTGGCTTTGTGCCCTGAAAGTGGCAGCCACTAAGGAAGGCTCCATCTCCTCTATTTCCCCCAAAATCTCCTCCCCTCCTCTCCTCTGATATCTAGACTGGAAGTTCTCACCCCAGCGCAGGGCCTCTTTCCTCTGTGGCCCTAGCTGAGGCCCCAGAAGCTGACACTAGACCCTCAGACAATGACTAAAAAGTTAAAAAGTTGGCCGGGCACGATGGCTCAAGCCTGTAATCCCAGCACTTTGGGGGGTGAGGTGAGAGGATTGCCTGAGCCGACGGGTTTGGGACCAGCCCGGGCAACTTGTGGGACCTCATCTCTACAATAAATCAAAAAAATTAGGTGGGTGTGGTAGTTCTAGCTACTTGGAAGGCTGAGGCGGAAGGAACGTGGGAGTCCAGCAGGTTGAGTCTGCAGTGGCCATGAGCGTGCCACTGCACTCCAGCCTGGGCAACAGAGTGAGACTCCAACTCAATAAAAAAAAAAGTTTAAAAGTTGGCTGGGTGCAGTGGCTCACACCTGTAGTCCCAGCTACTCAGGAGGCTGAGGCGGGAGGATCGCTTGAGGCCAGGAGTTAGAAGCTACAGTGAGCTATGATCCCACCGATACACTCCAGCCTGGGCGACAGGGTAAGACCCTGGCTCAAAAAGAAAAAAAAGTCTGCGAATAACTTCTGAGCCTGTTTCGAAAACAAAACAAAACAGATGAAAGAAAAAAATCTCTGTGAAGTTCAAGTTACCCATAATTCTCTCTTGTCTCTGTGAGCTTATTCTTGAAAACCTGTCAGGTCTCACCTGCCCACACCAGAGGAACACAGAGACGGCAGGGTAGAGAAATCTGAGATGCAGAGATATTTCCCTGCCTTGTGGCTGAAAAAAATGTGTGAATGGAGGTAAGAAACCATAAGTTCCCAGTTGGGCTGGTTTTAAAACAATAAGCTGGGGTCAGCGCCCTTGCCCAGCTGAGTCACTGCAGCTTGGCGGTAGGCCCAGTCAGGGGGAGGAGAGGGAGCAGCAGCCAGGGGAGAGATAGAAGGGGATACACAGGGCTGCGGGGGACAGTTGCACAGGCTGTGAACTGCTCAAGGGAATCCAGAGCCCCACTATTTATATACCAAGAAGGGGCGCTTTTAAGTTTTTCTCAAAAAGGTGTAGCCACCTTAGGTGCTGGGAACAAGTTTCCAGAGGGCAGTGGCACCCACGCCCGCGTACCTGACTGGCCTCCCAGAATGTGAGCCGAGCCCAGGCATGCTGTGGGGCCAAGATGCAGAGGTTGATGAAGGCGCAGCCCATGGAGATGTGAAAGTAGAAAGGGAAGAGCTTGCTTTGCGCTAGGCCGAAGGTATGTCGGGGAAGGCCTCGGAAAAGCAGGAAGCCTGTGGGGTGGGGGGCGGCACGCCTGTTAGGACGCCTGCGGGTCCCCCTCCTCTTTCTGTCCCCACCCGTGGTACCCATGAGGTCCCGGCCGAGGGTCCCTACCTGAGACGAAGGTCACCCACATTTGCATGCCCCAGGCACCTGACAAGACCAGTAGGTGCAGCACCTTGATCAGGCCTCCCGGGTTCCCGCCTTCCTCCATCTTGCAGCCCTGGGAAGGAGGCATCAGGTGGCTCAGAGCTTGACCTTTGCCCCTGGCCTTCAGGCCCCGTGAGCCTGCGCGAGGCCAGGTCCCGGCCTATCCAGCGGAGGTCCAGGACAGACAACCCAGGAGTGAGAGTGACCAGGACCCAGAGCAGTCCCGTGACGACCCCCGACCCCATCCCTCCACATGTCAGCCCTGGAGACGCGGTGCTCTCTGGACCCCCACATCCACGCCACCTCCGACGGCCCCAGATTTCGGCCCCGGCAGCTCAAGCTCACAGCCCTAGGTCTTCAGAGGTCACCCTGATGACTGCCCAGCATCCACCCCGGGATCCAGTTCTAACAGTCGAGACCCCTCCCCCAGTAACAGGATATCATATGCAGAGCCCCCCAAAGCAACCCGGTGACCCCATCTACTCCTGGGGATCCCCAAATCTCATCCCAAGGACAACGACCTCCCCCCGCTGGGAACCGGACCTCAACCCGCAGCACCCGGAGTCCGAAATCCGAGGCGCCAGGGCCACACGGACCGAGCTCGGTCCCTCACTCACTCACTCGGTACTTCTCTCCCAACCAAGAAGTCGTCCCGCCTCCCCGCGGAGCTTGAAACCAATCAGATCGTAGATCTGCCTCCTTTTGTCCCGCCCTCTAGGGTGCCGACTAATAACTAAGCAGAAACTTGCCTGGAATCCCGCCCCCTCCTCGGGCACTTCTCCAATGACACAGCGGCGGCTGAAAGCTACGGAAGCCGGAAGCCGCCAGTAAGGCCGTCGGCTACCCCTGCGGGGGCGGAGCCAAGACACCGGCCACGCCCACCCCCCTCTGTGACCCCACCCCCCTCTGTGACTCCACGCCTCCGCACGTTTTAATGCCGTGGTGTCCCCGCGGGATGAAATTTCAGCATTACAGCTGGGGACTGGCTTCCCGGTCCCAGATGGGAGAGCCTAAGCAGGTGGTATGTGGTAGGTGGGGGTCGGGAACCTGGCGGGCACAGGATTCCCAGCCCTGGGGGCGGGGCCGAGGCTGATGATCCCGCCCCCTTCCCCAGGAATTCTCCCGGGAAGGACCCTGAAGACACTGGGGTGCCGGGGGGAGAGGAGGCACGACTTGGGACCTGCCTGCCGCTGGCGCGCGGAAATGCCTTTCCTTTCCCTCTCTGTGCGTCCCAGATCTCCCATGGTCCCCAGGTTCCAGATTTCATCTTGACATCCAAGAACAAACATTGAGCTTCTCATTCCGCGTGCCAGACGCTGGCACGGATTAATTTGCTTAATCGCAGCAACCCAGTAAGGTGGACATTGTGACATCCTAGTTTTATAGTTGGGGACACTGAAGCATGGAGAGGTTAAATAAGTCTTCCAGTATCACACAGCTGAGAAGGGGCAGAGCTAGGGTCTCAACCCCCGCCATCCAGCTGGAGGGTCTCTTTGCTTAACCATCATGCCTTCCTGCCTCTGGAAGTGAGGACCTGCCCAAGGCAATGCCTCTTGAAGGGCAACCTGGAATGTTCCAGGCAGAAGAGTCACTTGTACACCACAGGATGAGTGTGAAGGCCTAGTGAATGCTCAGAGGATGCCAGCACTCAGTTAGGTGTTCAGAAAAGATGCACCTAAAAGGGGACTAAAGATTTTACAGATAATATGCTGAGTAGGGTTTTGAAGGGTGTGTAGAAATTTTCCAGGCAGACTGAATCAGGGGAAGGACACCAGGCAGAGGACCCAGCAAGGGCGACCAAAAATAAAGGTCTAGAGGATTTGGGTAACTGGCTGAGTGAAATTTCACCTAGAAGTTTCTCCAGGCAAACCTGCCCCAGACTTCTCCATCTGGGCCAGTCCTGACTATACTGGCGGGGGAGGGGATGTGGCCATGAGACCCAGCGCTGAGTTCTTGCCTGTTCCCAGCCTCTTCTGGCACAGGCCTGGACCCCAATTCAGCATGCATTTATTAAATAGGTAGGTCCTGCCTCTCCTGCACACACTCTAGGTCTCCCGTTTATCTGTGGGGCCAGATCCAGACTCCTATGCTTGGCCTTCGATGCCTCACTTGAACTGCCTTGCTAACAGCCTGCTGCTTCCTCGTGGACCCCGCCCTCAGCCATCCTGAATTCACCAGCACAAGCACATCGGTCCACCCCTCCAAGTTTTTGCACACACTGCATCCTGCTAGGAGTGGCCTTCCTTTTAGGACCCATGTTAAGGTCCTTTATATGGGCCCTTCTGAGGCTTCGTTTCTTTCTGTGGGGTCTTCTGGGTTTTATTCACTGCCCAGCACAACTGCTGGGGCTGGGATCATCCTCCATCGAGCTTCTGTGACTGTGAAGCCCCAAGTTCAGGACTGAGGCCTCTCTGGCATGTCAGGGAAGGCTTGGGGGCATTGGGGACACGGGGACTTGTCTCCAAGCAGCACCTGTGCTCCCTACTCCCAGTGACCCTCTTTTGGCTGGCCTACCCAAAGACCCTGACCGCTCCGTGTCCTGCCCCTGCTCACCTCCCTCATCCTCCAGCGTGTGTCTGCCTGCTAACGAGTGTGACAAGCACTGGGGTTCGTTGGGGGGGGGAGCTGCCCTGGGTCTGGGGGACTGGGAGGGGCTGGGGATGCAAGGAGTGCTCTGGACTGTCCCTCAAGGAAACCCTCACCTCTAGGCTCTTCCTCAGACAAGGCCCTAGACTATATGACCCACTGGTCCAGGACCCTAGAGCTGGAGACCTTGGGACCCACTGCTTCCGAGGACACAGTGAGGAGTGTAGACCAGAGGCTAGAGTGGGGCTCGGGGCCTCTGCCTCGTGGGGCTCCCCCCTTCCCCAACTCAGACCTGCACCGGGAGCGCTGCAATGACCAGGACGTTTTGAAGAGGCCTCACAACGGAGCTAAGGTCACCCCCACCCAGGAAACCCCTTCCATACAGGAAACTCCTTCAATCCAGGAAATCACTGCAATCTACCACTGCTGGGCTTGGAGAAGGGACTGGGGCAGGGCGTCTGAAGACGACGCCCATTCACCATGTGTCTTCAACCCCTGGAACAGCGCCCTGGCACCCAGAGGGCTAAACATGTCTTAAGTGAATAGAAGGAATGACTGTGATTGTGTGTCTTCAGTGAGGCTTTGTGGTTGTTTCTGGGTGTGCCTTTGCTTATGTGTCTGTGTGGCTGTGGTTGTGTATTTTGGCGACAGTGTGTGGTTGTGTCTCAGGTGCTATTGGTGCCTACAGCAGACATTGTCAATGTCCTTTGCTTCCTAAGAAGGAGGGTCATTATTTGAGCCAAAGCCAGAGACAGGGCTGGAGTTTGGCGGGATCCAGGGGTCCTAAGGCATGTGCTGTTGGGGCAGCCCACAGGCCCACACATGTATGGGTCAGCCACACAAGTGCACTTTTGAGCTTGTGCAGGCAAAAGGGGAGGTGCATGAATGTGCCTGGAGTGCAGCTTTACCTGCACTTGTGGTTTGGCATATCCAGGACTCAAGAGACTCAGCTGTTGTTTAGCCCTCCAAACTGGGTTGGGATCATCAGGGAGGCAGCCTAGGGACAAATTTTCACTTCCCTCTTGTCCCCCTTCCCTAGAAGTCCTTGGAGACTGGCTTCTCCAAAATCAAAGGTGAGAACCCTCCTTCCCAACAGGACTGGGGGAGAAAGACCTGCCAGTCCCTACCTCCACCCTCTGCCACAGTCTCAGTGGGTTCCTACCCCTACTCTGAGCCTCTGCTGACCTCTGCCCTGCCATTAACCTAACCCCCACCTCTTCCAGTCCTGGCTCAGCCTCACCTCTGTCCACAGCTAAGTCCATCATGATGACTTCTGACCCCCAGAAGTTCCTGCGGTGTGAACTGGAGTCACTCAAGAGTCAGCTACAGGCCCAGTCAAAGGTGGGTCCCCTCAGCCCCTCCCTCCAGCAACCTCTGTCCCCGCCCCCACCCTTCCTCCACCCCACCTCGGGCCTGATCTCTTGGCCCCAGGCTTTCGAGTTTCTGAACCACTCTGTGACGATGCTGGAGAAGGAGAGCTGCCTGCAGCAAATCAAGATCCAGCAGCTTGAAGGTGAGGACCCACTAGAGGTCAAGGTCGGGTTGGCGTGGGTCCTGTTGGGGTTATCTGGGTCAGGCCAGCGTGAGAGAAATCAGGAGAGTCTGGGTTCTGAGTCGAGGTGAGGGCGAGCTGGGTTCAGAGGGGCATGGGGTCGAGTCAGGGGTACACTCAAGGCACGGCCCCCTCTGCAGAGGTGTTGAGCCCCACAGGCCACCAGGGGGAGAAGGAGAGACACACGTGGTCCTTGGAGCAGGGCCAGCCGGAGCTGGGCGGGGCCCTTGCCCACGGCCTGAAGGGGCTGCAGAAGACCCTGCGGGACAGCGAGGAGGTGCAGCGGGCCCGCCTGCAGCTGCTGGCCCAGGAAATCCGGGACAGGTGGGTGATGGCAGGAGAGCAGGCCGGGGCCAGGAACGAGGAGGCCAGAGAGGGGGGTGGGAGGAGGGATGGAGGAGGCAGGAGAGGCCTGGCCAGGGTGGCGGGGGTGGTGGAAGGCTGGGGGGACGAGAGGGAGGGGTGGGAGGTTTGGTGGAGACAAGAGGCTGGCAGGGGCGGGCAAGCGGGAGACTGAGGCCAGGGAACACAGGAAGCCGGAGGTGGACCGGAACGAAGGCCAAAGGATGAGGAAGCAAAGCGGCGGGTGGCAGGGAAGGCTGAGGCCGCAGGAGACTGAGGGTGGGATGGAAAAGGGGGCCAGGGAGGAGGAAGGCGGGCTGGCAGGGAAGGCTGAGGGGGTGAGAGGTCAGGGAACACAAAGTGAGCTGCAGGCCAAGGGGTGGGAGGCCAGCTAGGAGGCGGGAGAGGCTGAGTGAAGGGGAGACTGGGGGTCCAGAAGAGTGGACATTGGGAGCATCCTAGTAGGAGGGGAAGAGTGGGCGGAGGGGCCAGCCTCAGCGGAGGGGTGATTGGCCAGGTGGGGGCATGGCCGTGTGGGAGGTCAGGGGCTGAGAGGCAAGTCCGGGCCACACTGTCCCGGCAGCAAGAAGTTCCTGTGGGAGGAGCTGGAATTGGTGCGGGAGGAGGTGACCTTCATCTATCAGAAGCTTGGTAAGTGCCTGGAGCCCACAGCAGGGGGTGGGGAGGAGTCCTTCGGCCGCCCCTGTCCCCTGAGCCCCTCGCTCCACAGAGGCGCAGGAGGATGAGATCGCCGCAAACCTGGCGAGCATCCAGAAGGTGCAGAAGACGCAGGTGAAGTGTCGCAAGGTGAGAGGACAGGGACCCTGAGGGAGATGGGCCGGGAGATTGCTGCCAGCCTCTGCCATCAGACTGGGACCTGGGTTCAGATCCCCCTCTGCCACTCACTGCTGTGTAACTTTGGGCAAGCCTCTTGGCCTCTCTGGGCCTCAGCTTCCTCATCTGTGTAACGGTGTACCCTTCCTGATCAGGTAGCTGTGTTAACTGAGCATTAAGCACTTTGAGTGTGACCTGGCATGTATTAACTGCTATGGAACAGTCATCTTTCACGACCATTATTATTATTATTTTTTTTTTAGTTGGAGTCTCACTCTGCCGCCCAGACTGGACTGCAGTGGCCGCTCCCGGCCACCGCAGCCTCGACCTGCTGGGCTCCGGCGATCCTTCCGCCTCAGCCTTCCGAGTAGCTGGAACTACAGGCGCGCGCTACTAAGCCCAGCTCATTTTTGATGTATTGTAGAGCTGAGGTCTCGCCAAGTTGCCCAGGCGGGTCTCGAACCCGCGGGCTCAGGCAATCCACTCACCTCAGCCTCCCAAAGGTGCGGGATTATAGGCTGAGCCACCGAGCCACCATCATTATTATTAGTAGTATTAGGTTTTTTTTGAGTCAGAGTCACTCTGTCACTCAGGCTGGAGTGCAGTGGCACACTCACGGCCACCATAGCCTCAACTTGCTAGGCTCAGACGATCCTTCCGCCTCTGCCTTCAAAGTAGCTGCAACCACAAGTGTGCGCCACTATGCCCAACTAATTTTTTTTTTTTTTAATTGTAGAGACGAGATCTTGCCATGTTGCCTAGGCTGGTCTTGAACCCCTAGGCTCAGGCAGTCCTTTCGCCTCCACCTCCCAAAGTGCTGGGATTACAGACGTGCCACTGTGCCAGGCCACTAACATTATTATTATTATTTTAAGAGACAAGGTCTCACTATGTTGCCCAGGCTGATCTTGAACTCCTGGCCTCAAGCAATCCTCCCACCTCAGCCTCCCAAAGTGCTGGGATTGCAGGCATGAGCATCGGAGCTGCACTGTCATTATTACTATTTTTCCTGTTCTCCCAACCTCCCCCACCTCCCACCCCAGATCCTGACCAAGATGAAGCAGCAGGGGTATGAGACATCTGCCTGGCCAGAGACAGAGGCGATACTGCCAGGAGGCAGTGGGTGCTGGAAGAATGACCTTCAGAAGGAACTGAGTGACATATGGTGATGCCCAGTCCCCAGGGTGACCCCTGGCCCTCCTCTGACCTGCTTCGCCCAGTCAGATATTGGGCAGTGCCCACAAGAACTTGGAGCCCACTAAATTTCAAGCCCCCCGCCCCTCGCAGAACTCATCCTTGCCATGGCCCCTGCCTTAGCCCTGCTGCCTCCCTGTCTTGAGCAGCCTGGAGTCTCCTGGACCCCCATCTCCCCATCTCCCCACAGGTCTGCCTTGCATGTGCTGCAGAACTCCATCGACAACTTCACCATGTCCTCGGGGGCCCACCCCAGGACCTCAAGCCTCAGGGGTGAGGGGCACTGAGTGTTGCTGGGGGTGGGAGGTCACATCCTCAGGGTCTATTTGGAGTCTCATTCTGTGGTTCCATTAAGGAGTCACTGGAGGTTTTACTCAGGGTCCCTCAGAGTTATGGTCAGGGTCAGTGGAATCTTGTAAGTCAATGGGAACTGTGTGCCTGTAATCTCGGCACTTTGGGAGGCCAAGGCAGGAGGATCGCTTGAGCCCAGAACCTCGAGATCAGCCTGCGTAATTTAGCAAGACCCCATCTCTACAAAAAAATTAAAAATTAGCAGACATTGTGGCACAGCCTGTAGTTCCAGCTACTCGAGAGGCTGAGGTGGCAGCGTTGCTTGAGCCCAGGAGTTTGAGGCTGCAGTGAGCATGATCACGCCACTGTACTCCAGCCTGGGTGACAAAGCAAGATCCTGTCTCATAAAAAAAGAAGAAGAAAATGCCCGGAGGAGTGGTACATGCCTTAGTCCCAGCACTTTGGGTGGCAGTGGCTAGAATTGCCTGAGCCCAGGGGCTCAAGATCAGCCTGGGCAACTTGGCAAGACCTTGTCTCTACAATAAATCAAAAAATTAGCTGGGTGTGGTGGCGCACGCCTGTAGTTCCAGCTACTTGGAAGGCTGAGGTGGAAGGATCGCCTGAGCCCAGCAGGTCAAGGCTGCGGTGGCCGTGAGTGTGTCACTGCATTCCAAGCCTGGGTGACAGAGTGAGACTCCAACTCAAAAAAACAAACAAACCAACAACAACCAGGAGTCAATGGAATAAAATGTAAGGGTCATTGAAGTCATAATTTGGTGTCACATTGGGTCACATTCAAAGGACTTGGGGGTCATGGTCAAGGATCAGTGAGCTATAACATCAAGGGACACTGAGCCTATATTTGGAAGTTATTTGAGGCTCACATTCAGGGTTCCTGTCCCTCCCACAGGTCACAAGGGGCACCAGTGCCTGAGCCCTCCGCTCCCCTCCTGGGACTCAGACTCCGACTCTGCCCAGGATCTTTCCCAGCCGCCTTTCAGCAAGAGCCGGTCCTTCCTGCCTGGTACAGATCCTGTCCGCCCCCACCCTACCCCTGCCCCATCCACTCCCCTCCTGGCCTGCCCTTGACCCCCACGGTCTAGATCCTCTGGACCATCCCAGATCCCGACCTGGGCATCTGGTCCCCTGGGGGTCCCCTGGGCTGGGCCAGACGGATACCCTCCCCCTCTCTCCACAGCTTGAGCAGCCGGAACTGCTCTCCCTGAAGACTAGTCCAGAGAGAAAATAAACTAGCCAAGACCCTCCTCTACTCCTGGACTGTTGCTCCTGCTGCTTCCTGTGCCTAGGAATCCCCCTGCCCCCTAATTTACCTCTCAGCATTAGGGGAAGGGGAGTAGAGACCCCAGGAGTCCTTCGGGATGTGTGAGCCAGTTTACAACACCGGGCTAAACTGGTTATATGGCAAGATCAGGGTCAATCTGTCTAGGTGCGAACAGCCAGACAGGCTCTTCCTCACTGACCACAGAGGCTTCCTTTCCGGTGGGCCCTGGCCATCTGGTCCAGAGCCAGTAGGAGCTGTGAGGACCCTGGTCCAGGGCCTGAAAGAGTAGCAGAAGACCCTGCACGACAGCACAGCCCAAATGGGGAAACTGAGGCCCAGAAAGGGGAGGGCGTGGTCCAGGGTCATACTCTGAAGCACTCTCCTCCTTGTCCCCAACCCCTCTTTTTATTTTTATTTTTTGAAAAATGCAGCTTTTATTTATTTATTTTTAATTTTTACTATAAAGATGTGGGGTACATTTCAGGGTTAGGTATATAAACATTGATCATACAGGTACCCTTGTTGATGAGGTATGCCCCAACCCCTCTTAACCTTGCTTGGTGGTTCCCTCCCAAATCTATGCTAACGCACCCAGCCCACAAGAGCAACCGAGGCCCCGCCCCGACATACTAATAAGACACCGCGAGCCCCGCCCCACGGAGCTATGCAAATAAGGCGCCCGGAGGCCCCGCCCTTACGTGCTAATGAGACACCGCGAGCCTCTCTGTGCGCAGCTATGCAAATAAGGTGCCAGGAGGCCCCGCCCCTCCCCCCGCCGCGGAGTCTGCGCGGCGCGGCTTGGCCGGGCCTACAGCATCTCTCTCCGCGTCCGCCAGCCGGGCCAGCAGTCCGTCTGTCC